GGTGACGGTAAAGTATTAGACAATACTAACCATGTCAGCGAGGTTTCTAATTAAAAACTAAAGAATTCCTTGTATAACCTTTCCATAATTTCATTAATCTTTTTTTGAAGCATATCTCGATCGTTTTCAGCATGATTTATTGAACGCTTGACCTCTTGACATTTTCTCTATACAGAATGGAATAAGGTGTTTAAAGATAACAGAATTACCATGATTAAGAATTTTTAAAAGCTTTTATCGAAGGTTGTATTAAAGATGAATACGCTTCAAATAAAAAAGTGAGCTGTGGTGAAACCATTACATTGCACGATAACTTTTCATCTTGACAGGACTTATTTTCTGCATCTAAACTGGCTTTCTTTTCTTGAAGGTTATGCAGCTTGTCAGTCAGCTTTGTAATTTCTAACTCTACAACTTTCCTTGATTCACTTAGCTTTTCTTTATCTTCCTAGATTTTAACGATGAATAAAGTAAAATTAATAGAGCTAGAATAAGTTGCTTGAAATGAGATTTTCTAACTAACATTGATCGTGTTCAGTCTCTGTTTTACTTTTGCTATACTCTTTTTCAATCTGGGTTACTGCATCCTTAAATTGCTGCAATTTCTAAAGAAAGAAAGGCAAATTTTACTAAGTTATAATGATGAAACTATACCGTGTCCGCTTTAGGAGTAAATTTTAATGCTTGCCTCTTCTTCAATGCGAACGTTCGCCCATGCAAGTGATACTTTGAGTTGTCGCAAGTCGTTCTCTATCTTATCCAAGTGATCAAGGAATCTCAATCTTGAGCGATGATACTCCACAACTTGTTTCTGCTCTTCTATGATCTGTCAAAATAGCCATTGTCGTTTACAAAATCGTTATAATAGAAAATTATTACTTTCTAATACGACTATAGTCTACTTAGAGTTACTAATATTTTCCATTTCACGATGGAAAGCGTTACTTACTTTTTCTTTCTTATTAACAGCAGCTAAGGAGTATTGCTGAGTATCAGAAGCACAGATAAAGTTGTTATATTGTTGCTGAGTGGCTTTAAAAAAAAACTATTTAAAGATTAAAAAGTGTTACAATTAATGTTTAACGGGAAAGAAATGATGTTCTACAAAGGGGAGAAGGATTTTTAGGATTAGAGAAAAAGATTATGGAGAAAGTAGAATGATATTCACTTCAAGAATGGAAACAATCTGGTGAACGTACTTCATATTTTTTAGCTTCATTTTGAGATTCTAAAAATTCTCGGCTAGCATCTTGCGTAAGGAAGCAAGCTGGATTATCAATTTGTATATTATAATGTTCCAATATATTTTGAAGTTCTTTTTTATCGTTGGCGATAATTCGACCTAATTGAGGAAGAAAGGGTGGAAATTTGGAAATGTCACCAAATCAATATAATAAGATACGATCTAATTCATTCATGAAGGTCAGAAGCAATCGTGATCTAACCGTTTGTAGACTTTAGCTTGCACGTGGAATGGCCATCTCTCCGAATCTGCCTTTCAAGGAAAATTTTGGGACCAAAATCTACTGCGCGATATGCATCGGGGCCGTTGTTTGCTAAAGTTATTATAATCCGAGCGTATCTACGACAAAGAATTCAAATAATATTGATGCATTTCAACTGTTGAGCAATTTCTTTACTATGTAAAAATATATTTCAAATGAGAATATCCGTATTTTAGACCGATATGCGGTAGTATGCAATGGATAAAAAGTACAATATTAGATATTGTAAGTATTCCTTTGCGAAATTATCCCTTTATGCATAGTTCCAGTATGATTAACTATAATGACGACAACAAATAATGTAAGTATTCTTTCGCGAAACTTTCCCTTTTTGCATCATCTTGCATGACTGATTTATGTATCACCAGTAATTTAAAGCGATATCCAGTTGTATATCAGTGGATAAAAAGTACTATCAATACCACTGTTCTTGTCAACAACAGATAATGTGAGTATTCCTCGGCGAAACCTCCCTTTATGCATAATCCTTGTATGATTGATTTATGCATCGTTGGTAATTTTACAGCGATATGTAATTGTACGAAATGGATGAAAGTACTGTCTATCCAAGGTTGTTATTGACAACAACAGATTATGTAAGTATTCCGTTTGTGAAAGTTTCCCCTTCGTACGTGATTAATTTACGCTTTATGTCGTTATCACTGGTAATTTTAGACCGATATGCAGTTGTATGCAATGGAAGGAAAGGATGATTTTAAAAGCGATATCTAGCTGTATGCAATGGATGAAAAGTACTATCTATTCGAGACTGTTATAGTCAACAACAGATTATGTAAGTATTGCTTCTCGAAACTTTTTCTGAAGTATAATCCTTGTATAATTGATCTAGGTATTACATAGTTATCACTGGTAATTTTAGATCGATATCCAGTTGTATGCAATGGATGGAAATTCTACATCTCCAATTGATATTGACAACAACAGGTCGTTAGTATTCCTTGGTGAAACTTTCCCTTTATACTGTACATAATCTTGCATGAGTGATTAAGGTATTCCAAACGCGTAGTTATCCCTGGTAATTTTAGACTGATATCCAGTTGTATGTAATGGATAGAAACTGTTCATCCAAGATTGACATTGACAACAACAGATTATGTAAGTATTCCTTTGTCAAACTTTTCCTTTTATATGCGATAGTTTTGTATGATTGATTATATATGACTGTTAATTTAAGACCGATATCCAATTGTACGCTATGGATGAAAAGCACTCTGTATCCGAGATTGCTGTTAACAACTATAGATTATATAAGTATTCCTTTGCGAAAACTTGATGTATGATTGATTTATGTATTGCATACAGTTGTATGCAATGGATGAAAAGTACTACCTATCCAAGATTGTTAGTAACAAGAACAGATCATCAAAGTATTCCTCGGCGAAATTTTCTTTTCATGTAAAGGAGCCCTTTGCATGCTTGATCTTTTTTTTTATTAATACGTCTTTCTCTCCTTCACGATATCAAATAACCATCATCTATTTGGATATACTCGGCCAATGTTGTAAGGATTTGAAGACGTTGAGTACAGTAGGAAATAAGGACTTTTAAAAGGTGCCTGGTAGGCAACAAGCGTAGTTTAACGGGTAGAGCAACTCAATCATTTCTTGATCTATTTTGCGAGCAAGACTGGCATGGACGGGAAAATAGTTTCAGTAGCTAGTATTCGGTGATGGGATAGTGGTCGATTTACTGAACTACGATGTAGGTAAGACTGGATTAAAACCAATGTACTCAGATCAAATAATGTGCTATTCAAAATGACACTATTGGCAACATCGATTACAATCATCGGACATGTTGTCCATTAATTTAATATAGCGCATTGGTGGCAAAATAGTTATCAAAGAATGTTGACTAATAACGTAGCAATGCAACCTACATACGCTAGCCAGAAGATATTAATGCGAATTCCTATGCTAAGACGATACTACTGTATCTTTTCCAGCTGTGGATACACTAGGGTGCCCATTCAATGGATTATTTTGGAGATCATTTTACGCTTGTTGATGAAAATCGTTACTCGAATCTAGCTTAGCAACAGCATGGAACTATTTTTACTAGCAAGATGATACATGTTGAGTCAATGGGCTTATTTTGGTTAGGTTGATGAAACTAATTTTGTTTAACAGCAGAGCGTAAACCTTCCGATCACTGTATGAATAAAATGATGGAAAGAAGAACTGCTGCCAATGCAAAAGGGCTTTACAATTTGAGAGTCAAGATGGCTGACATTGGATTTGCCTAAGCTTATCACTATAGGCCATTGAAATGCCAAGAAGATGGCACGAACTTGCCAGCAAATAGTAAAATACTTACTTGGCGTCTTTTTTAATGAATTCCTTCAAGGAAGAAGCTCGATTGGTAATGCTAGGACGTCCACTTAAGCAAATGATGATACCAGTCATGATTGCACTTTTACCACCTAGATTGAAGATTAAACTATTTTATTGACATGACAGCCATGATAAAATTGAATTGAATGTTATCGTAGTTCAATTGTTGCTAAGGTTAGGCTAAGAAAGGATCAAGCTTAGCAACAATCTATATCTGCTATAGTAGATACTTACTTCCATTTCTGCCAATGATGATATTGACATTTCCTCCTAATGTCATCTTCAGATTGGAATGGCACATAAAATTAATCAATTGGATCTGTAGGATTTTACCGCTTGTCTTTTGATCATCGCTTTGTGAATTATTGCTTTCTATCTGCAATTGGCAAGACCATGTAAGAAAAAATAATGTGTTAGTTCATTATAGAGTCGTTTGCTGTCAGTCAGCAATTTTCAAGACAAGGTAGTACGTTAAAGGTAGAAAAATGGAAGTTAGACTGATTGTGATGGAGTGCGGAGCGATGTAGGTGGAGAAGACGACTGGCACATTGGACAGTGTTGATGATGAAGAAATGTGGCGTCATAATTGTTTGTAGGAGGTTGGTAGCCTAAATAAAGGATGGTCATCGAAAGACGTTCAACTTTGAGGTCTAAAGTAGTCAACCTATTAGCGCAGAAAGATGAAGCTGCATTGTACAGTATTGATGTTGAAGAACCGCCATGATTGAATGTGTTTATCATGTAGATGTCGAAGGCTGTTGTAGACAGGTTAGTGAATCTTTTTGCCATGGCAAACTTTAATCGTCATCTCACTAATTGATACTACAGTATAGTACTGTAAAAGTAGTAGCGGGATGAAGGCGATTCCAAGGTAGACTAGAATCAGACAAGAGGATAGCTAGTTATGATAGAAATGTTAGCTGACCGATTGCCATGTTTTCCAATGCAAGTGTTATCAAGTTAGAAAGCCAAGCAAGGCAGAATTAGACAGCATAGTGAAAGTGGATTACCATCGTGGTAAACTACTGTGCAAGGAAGAAGAATCGTTAGTGGAGCAATACTGTCGTCATGACGGGAATGTTAGGCTATCGATTCTTCCATTCGACTATTTGGATTGACACTCATCTTGGTGGAGTTGTATAACATTGTAAAATCAATCTATTTCTCCATCGAGATGACAAACAAACTAAATGGACATGATTAGCATGGATCAAGTTGTATATATACACGGATGATTTTACATTGTTGACGGCATTTTGTGTGGGTTGAACGAGTCGTTTTGGCTATCACATCTCCATCCAAAAGATCAACGACGACATGGACACAATGGACCATGGTTGTTGGTTGTTCTCCTTTTCCAACAGGATTCTCTTTCTCTCTCATGCAGAATAAGCCATGATTAAGTAATCATCAAGCAGGAGAAGCATCGCTGATGCATATCCCTTTTCAGCTGCCGCATGGCCATCCACTTGATCGGATCAATAAATTTATCAACTTTTATCAAGTTATCCCATAGTCTAATACTAAGAAATGAAGCTATCGCGTCCTCGATCCTTGCAGCTTGCATTTTTCTCAACTTTATCAAGTTATCCCATAGTGTAATACTAAGAAATGCAGCTATCGCTTCTTCGATCCTTGCAGCTTGCATTTCTCTTAACTTTATCAAGTTATCCTATAGTCTAATGCTAAGAAATGCAGCTATCGCTTCCTCGATCCTTGCAGCCTGCATTTTTCTCAACTTTATCAAGTTATCCTATAGTCTAATACTAAGAAATGCAGCTATCGCTTCCTCGATCCTTGCAGCCTGCATTTTTCTTAACTTTATCAAGTTATCCTATAGTCTAATACTAAGAAATGCAGCTATCGCTTCCTCGATCCTTGCAGCCTGCATTTTTCTCAACTTTTATCAAGTTATCCTATAGTCTAATACATAGAATTGCAGCTATCGCTTCCTCGATCTTTGAAACCTGCATTTTTCTCAACTTTATCAAGTTATCCTATAGTCTAATACTAAGAAATGCAGCTATCGCTTCCTCGATCTCGCTTCTTTACAGCCTCCAAATTTCTCAACTTTATCAAGTTATCCTATAGTCTAATGCTAAGAAATGCAGCTATCGCTTCCTCGATCCTTGCAGCCTGCATGTCTCTCAGCTTTATCAAGTTATCCTATAGTCTAATACTAAAAAATGCAGCTATCGCTTCCTCGATCCTTGCACCCTAATGTCTCTGATTGAATGTGATCATTACCTGATCGTCGTCCAAGGCTTGTTCATCATGATGATCATGATCGCCATTTTCTTGTGATTCTTCACACGACGTTTTTTAGCTAGTAGATCACTACTGACAATGGTACCATCAGCTTCATCATCGATCCATCGTTTACGTGTGTCGGCCATGTTGAATCTTCATCAATCGCATGAGGAAAGTAGAGAAGAAGCAAAGATTGCTGACTATCCAAGTGGATTTTGCCAATTTGGATGAATTTTTCCCGGTAAAAAAAAGCGATCAACAACAATGTTGTTAGGGGGCTACTCGTGGCCGCTACTACCACCCTGGCCAATCTTGGATGGTGTTTCGTTTACCCCGGTTGGAATTTTTTGCATACAATCTTCTTCAAGCCGTTGTACCATAGATGACGTCAGAGGGGAGGGGGGGGGGTCGACAAGTGAGGGTGATAGCGGAAATCATGGTGGAAAAGCGAGTGTAGTCATAGAAGGATAGCGGTGGTCGTCTTAGCCGATGACCACGACGATCGATCCCTTGATACTAGCGCTCGACTTGAAGGCTTAACTAGACAATATGACATGGTGATCATGTTTCCCGACATAGTACAGTGAATACTAGCCCACCATCAGGCAAGGCGGGAGTTTTCGATTTGAGGCGAAAGTAGTGTGCCCAACTGCGCATGTACCCTGTGTTGACGGGGTAAAACACCTGTGTGGTGCGCGGCCCCGGTGGAGATGACATAGGGCGTTTCGTAAGCCCATACAGTACAAGAGAGACCATTTACAGTACGTATACTGTACGTACTGTACTGTATACTGTACTGTAGGTCTCTCTGGTCGACCTTGTCCCATTTTGACGCAGGGATTACTATACAAAAAATTCGACGTTGCACCGTCATCTAGAATGATCATCATGATCATCATCCACAACATCCAACATTGACCTATTACTAACTGTAAATTTAGGACAAAAATTGGATACTAATAGTTAATCGCTTATCGCTATTAGCAATAATCTAAAATTATTTTGGGGGGTTAAGGCGATAGCTTAGTTGCACCGTCATCTAGAATGTAATGATCATCATGATCGTGGCCTCGATTTATGTTTATTAATGATTGTCGTGCTGCACATTATACAGATGCATGCCTAAACTGCTAGTAGAATACATTTGTGTATTCTATAAGACAACCATGGACCTGCTATGCAGGTCAGTAAATCAAATCATCACATCGACAGAAACATTAACGAATAAATGAACTTTATTAGAGTTATATCAGTCGCAATAACTCCCTTATAATCATTCATAAACCGCTTGAAAGTATCATGGTTATCACCTAGTTGACGAGTCCAAAGATTGAAATTCGTATCGGTTGTAGCAGTCATAATACTAGTATAACGCACATTGAACAACATAATGATGTACAGTACAACAACATTGCTAGCAAGAAATTCAGCAAATGACGTCATCGCTAAATCTAGTGCAATTAATTTTAAAACAGACAACTTTTAACCGAAGAAAGTAAATGTACAATTGTAATAAACAGTGGATATGGCTAATGTTGAATACCAAAGATTGTATAGAACAAGTTTGTAAAAATAGGAATCTAATTTCCAGCTTAAAATCAATCTAACCTGTACAGAATTATTAAACAGCAGATAAACAGCATAAAAGCGAACGTTTTACGGATAACAAACATTTAACACTACAGTTTTATTTAAAATACAGAAATGGACATATTTCAGGACTGTCTAACTAAGCTATCCGTAATTGGTGGTTGATTATTTTCACGTGCAGGATCTTGTAAACGGTGAATTCTGATGTTTTCCTTAAACCTTAATTTGCTAAAGATCGGTATGTAAAGGTAGAAGTTAGGTTAGAATTTTCTTTTACGTAATTAGCTTACCTGCGTAAACCATACCAATGAGTATCTGGCACAACGCTGATATAATTCCCTCACCTCATGTTCTGTGGAGATAGAAATATAAACTGGCGAAGTTTTCTTGTCGTGGCTAATTGTAGCAAAGTATGCATGCACAAATCTCGATTGACCATGTCCTGTATAAATAGGGTAACGACTTTAAATTACGGCCATAAACTTCATAATGAAAGTTTTTATAAAAATATAGTTTTAATTACTTAGGAGAGTTAATCTACAAGTCAACAACAACATACCATAGAAACGTCAAATTCATCGAAACATTGTAAAGGTGAATCCGTTACTTCCCAAAGCGCGACGATAAAAGCAATAGTTGAAAATGATCGTTCACCACATGACAATGAACCGGTGCCAGAGGTTTTTGCATTGGCAGATATCTTAACCTAAAAGTTTACGTGTTAATGAATCACAATCCAAAATGGCTATTCCTGAACTACACTACTATAATTATAACATACATCTAAAGATATCTTTTTTTCGTTATGATCAATCAGCATAGTACCAAGATATCCTCTTTTTGCCAACGCTATACGAAATGTAGTGATAATTTGTTCAGTTAAAATTTTTAGCATTCCTGTAAATAGCTTGTGTCGCTTCTTTAATTGATTGTTCAGTTGCTATCCGAAAGAAATCATCGATACAGAAACAGGTACATATTAAGAAACTAAATCTTTATCCATCAATAAGTAACATAGCTTGACAACAGTATAAAATCTTGGTAACTATTGATCTTTACTTACTATCCGAAAAAAATCATCAACATAGAAATATGTATATAATAAGAAACTAAAACTAACATCAATCAGTAAGAAGTACAGCTTGACAACATTATAAAATCTTATAAATTAAATGCAAGAATATTGCTGTATCAGCTACTCCGTTCGATAGACAATAACTTTTAGTACGGTAATGCTTGTAGTAATAGCATTTGCGTCATGACCAATTTCAATCGCACACAGAGCTACTAGCTTTGATGAGGTGAACCTATACCATTTCTCGTAGCTCCAAAAGCGATAGTGCAATCAACATAGACAAATTATCCTTATCTTTGGTGTAAAAGTGAATTACCTTAGATGTACTATCAAGTATAGTATGGTGACCGCATTGTTCATCATACATTTTCTTTGCAGTAACGTAAGCGGCCAGAATTTCTTCACGAGTACCAGTTTCTTTTTCTTGGTCAATTAAACGTTTTTCCTTTGCCTTAATTTGTTTATTCAATGTTGAAATATCTAAACTGGAGTTACATCGCGTTGGAGATAACTTGAAAGCGGTTTCCTTGGACGCCTATATGTGGTAATGAAAGTACATTAGCCCAATTGAATGGATTGAATCACTGAAGTGATATATATTTTATAGACATATCTTACCTCTACGGTGTTTTCTTGATAAGAAATAGTTTGTAATTTTTCATTTTTCTTACGATACAATTGATCAATTTTTGATTGCAATTCATTCCATTGACTATCATAACTCCTGTATTCTACTTCAATTTCTTTACGTTTTTCCTAATTAGAAATGATTAATAATCGTTGCATAAGGGCTGTACACTGTACAGTATAGAAATAGAGTTAACCCCCAAAATTGCATACTTTAAGCAGTTTCATATCTTCCACGATCTTTTGTATCCCATTTTCGAGGCCATTTATCTGATCTTCCAATGTTGTAGCTTTTGTGGCTACGTTGCGGCATGATACCACGAGTTTTTCTAACTAATAATCGAAATTGCTATATCAAATTAGTGGTAACATGACATTGTAGAAATAGTAAACTAGAGTTGAGACAGTAACAAGAAATTTATAATAAATTTGAACCTCTTCTTTATCTTTCTCAATTTCTTCCTCTCTGTCATGTAATTCAGTTTCCTATATATTAAGATTAGAAATTGTAGGACTGATAAAAGAGTTTGTAATTTCCTTGTACTTTACTAAATTGTTGTTGGACTTAGATGTTGTCTTACCAATGCTGTCAAATCAGAGGCTTTGACGTCAAACGATTGCAACTCTTGGATTTCCTGTAAGAAATAATATTAAGTCAGCCTTTATTAATTGCTACCATTACCTGTCATAAATTATGAGTCATATTTATTTACATTCTTTAGTGAATTCATTCGGTCTTGATGATAGCTAATTGATTGGCGTATTGAATTATAGTCCGTCTGTGTTATCATCCCAATATCGATTAGTAAATGTAACTAAACTTCAAAATATTATTCTTGTATATATATACTGTGATAAATACAAGTATAATTTAAGACCTTAATTTTATCTAAATTCCTCTGAATTGATGTCATATGAGTATTAGCGTTGCGAATGTCATTGTTGCAATTTTCAAAAAGCGATTTTCTACGTCTATTAAATAAAGAACGTTTATTAATTTCACGCCGACTGACATCATAAACATCAACAACATCCTCTATTTTCATAGTGTGATAACATCTATCTACACTTTTACAATGATAAAAATTTGTAATCATCGACTGATCTATCCGTACCTTATTTCTTCTGTTACATTTCGTACAAAATAATGAACTCCACGCCGAAAATTGGAATAATATCTGAAGTTAGCGCCGCCATAAAGATGGTCACCATTGATTATATAGGCCTGCGTATTAAGACAACGTACATCCTAAGCACGTAGAAACAATCACTTTGAAATTTTAAATAGTTTCACTACAGTTTACAATACCTCTCTGACATTTCCAGGAACATTTCTACCTGTCAAAAAATTTATAGCTTCTTCTCGATGTTCGATAAGTAAAATGTTTTCGATTCCTTTCTATAACGTAGAAAAGTGATAATGTATTCAATCGAACTTACACTAAATTCATTTAATTTACAAATTCGAACAGCTTGCAGCATTACCTGATCAATAAAGCAATTTATAACATTGCTATTATTGATATCTAACGATTCTAAAAGAGTTGGGTACTGACACCGCTGGACATTAAGAAATACGTGTATCGTCAATAGTAGTTTCATGTTTGACAACTACTTTATTAGGCCATTAATATCGTTATCAGAAATATCAGTGTTTCTTACAAATTTGGGAATATCATGTGGCTTATCCTATTAACATTAACAACGATAAACGAAATCAGTCACGATGATTTATCCATTAGCAATCGAGTAGTGCTAACTGTTAAATATATTTACACACTTACCAAAAATTTACTGACAACAACAGTTGGCATTCTAGGGATTCTCATGAAGCGGCATATGTCTAATAGAATATCTTTATCGTGATGATCATGACAATGAAATGATCTTAGTAGATCACCCAAGCAATTCTCAATTGCAACTGCCCATTTCTGATCTTTCAAGGTAACATTTTGTCCTAGCATAAAATATCGATCGACATGATAAATACTCTTCAAACAGAGTCAAACCATAAACTACAGGTATATAATCACGCAAAGCTGATGGTGTAGTCTTATCAATTATAAACCTAATGGTCCAAGAGGGAACTTATGAAATCGTCGTCTCTGATGGGCCTCTTGTACACGCCTGACCAGCTCTGGCATGTAATGCCCATACACTTCTAGCCGATTTTGACTAGAAGCCTCTAATCGCTTAATCTCATCTTCTAAGTTGCGCTTTGTTTTCTCATTATAAAAAATATTCGATCTAGGCAGGTGAAAGATGATAAACGTTAAAATCGCTGTAAAAGTATGATTTAACATAGATCAGAATGAACCTCAATTCTTGTAAGTCGGTTCTTCCTTCTTACGACTATATTC